GGGTCAGGAGAGGTCTGCCACGCCATGTGGTCACCTCTGGGGCAGGCGGGAATCAAACTCATGTGGAAGTGGCTTTAGCATCTCAGTGATGTGCTTTAATCTGCTGCGCCACCAGGGAGGGCCCTAAATGAGCATGTTTTAAGGACAGAAAAACTGGATCTGCTGACGCCAGCCCCAGTTACAGTCCTGTTGACTCATTACTAAGTGTTACCTTGGAAATGCCACCATACCTGTTGCAGTCTGCCCAACTGCCATATGTTCTCATCTACTAAATGGGCATAGAATTAACAGCCATGCAACACCATAGATTTGTTAAAAACTAAATAATATTAAATTTCCAAAGCAATTTCATGTAAACAAGTAAACAAGGCTTTAGTATGATCCTGCTTCTCTCCTGTCGTGATCTTTTCCTTTTGAATCTACCAATAAGTCCCTTTTCATTGTTTTCTTTATTGTTGTGCCAGAAGACATGAAATTCAAGTGGCCCCTGGAAAATGGAGCTAGTGTAGAAAGGGACAAGGTAAAAGAGTATTTCAGTGTTTCTTCCCACCCCTTTCACGCACCTCACAGTAACAATCTGGCCTCCATCCAGGACGACACCGTTCATCTGGGCAATAAAGATGGCAGCCACCGCTTCATAAAGGGCTGTACCGTCCATGTTAATGGTTGCTCCAACTGGGAGGACAAATCTGGTCACGCGCTTATCAATCCCAAGGTTTTCTTCTAGACAACGGAAGGTGACAGGCAACGTGCCAGCACTAGAGAGACAAAGAAAAACAAAGAGAAAGACAAAGAGAGAAGAGTTATGTTCACTTTACAGAAGCAGGACAAAACACAGTCTGGAATGCCCTACAAAGTTTTGCTCTAGTCAAGTATGTGATGGGCAATCAGCAGCATGCGGGGCAAAATTAAAACCCAGTGAGTTGGAGACTCAATTTCCATCTTATTAAGATGCTAAAAGGGGGCAAAATATTTTTGTTGGTTCTGGTATTTGAAGTCTACTTAGAATTTCAAGTATTCCTCCCCCCCCCCCCCCAGCCACTGTTTCCACCTTGGATTGAAAATTGAAGTCTCTTGATTGCCCACATTAACTGGGCTGCCAAAAACCCAAAAATGTCAATAAAGAATCAACTGTCAACAGTGAAACAGAAAACAGAATGAGAAACTTTTGAATGACCCTTAAGTTCATGCCAGAAGCACTACTTCCTACAAGATGATTACGTCGGTTTCATCCAGCCCTGGAGAATTGCCAAACTGAGCTAGTTTTGAAGCTGCTGGACGAATATGTTAAGCACCATTTAGCCTCAACCCAAACTTCTAGAAATTCACTGGGGACCCTCACAGATGGTTCAACTGCCTGACACAGTCATCGGCCAACTCACAGTCTCTACAACATCACAGGGCAGAAAAGCATGTGCTCTGTTGTTCATCAAAAACTCAACAGGGAGTGACTTCACCCCCGACTCCTCCCAGACATGAGATGTGAGTTCTTGACCACATGATGCAACTTCAAACGCCAGAATGCTAACACATTCATGTGTCATCTAAAATAGGAGACCTATAAAGATAAGGGTTGCTGAAGACCAGAATATTATTTCCATGTGGATTGAGGTGCATGGGAGGGTATATGGATTTGCTTCCAAGTCTGAGTAATTGGAAAAGCAATGCGGAACCAGCAGACAGCAGAGGCTTCTTCGTAGTCTGTTCTTTTTCTTTTTCTTTTCTCCCCAAACCTTAGCAAAGTGAATTGGAATCCTCTAGGGTAGACAGTGTGCTTTCTCTCTTGAGCTTACAGCCTTAGCTATAGTTCCCTCCTTCTACCAAGGATTCTAACCAAGTGGACATAAACAACTGACAAGGTCTCCGTTTCTCAGTCAGTGGGAGAAGACCACCACCTTCAGGGACAAACCTGAAATCATATTCCAGGGCCCACTCAGAATTCAGGAACTGGAAGTTCTAAAAGTAGGGTCACTTCAGTCTGCATCTTACCAAACTACTAACCTACAAGCTCCTAATCACCACCTTAGGGAAGCCAGAGTCCTTACCAGAATATTCTTTGTGATTCTGAGTTAGCACTCATGTTCTCTCGTTGATCTTAGGTAGGGAGAAGAAATTGGAGACCTCTCATTACTAAAACCTTAAAATCCAGGGGTGAAAAGTTGGGGCCTAGCTACATTCACATGATCCATCATAACTGGCCTGCTGCCCCAGCTGATTTAATGAGAAATTAGAAACTTTTTATCCCTCTCACCCCACACCTACCCCCCCTCACCCTTTCCTAGGGTCCCTTTGAAGAGTGACCAGGAAACCATGACTAGGCTGAAATGGCTGCTCAGCTCTGAGAGGTGCTTAGAATTCTCATTAGCATGAAGCTAAGGACACTTCTGGGAAGACTGGAGTATGTTCTTTTTAATTATTGAATTTATTTTCCCAAATGCCATCAAAGGGTCTTTAGACAATTAAATGGCTGAAGGAACGTAATTGGTAAGGCATGAAAATAAACTCAGTGTCTGCTGAACAGATTTTTCATCCTCAGGGCCTATAGAGAGCCAGTCAATCCAGACTGGGACTTGAGACATTTAACTCTTGCCTGTGTGGACAAGCTGATATTCTGACGTTGTTGGTTTTTCATTGTTCTTTTTCTCTTGGCTTCTGCCTCAGTGGCCACATGATAGTCTTCAAATGTTGCAATATAACTGTCAGACACTTGAGATTCTTCTTTTGGTTCTGGATTATTTTTAACAGCATGCACTGAGTTGGAGGGATACAGAAAGGCTCTCCCAGGCTGGTCCCTGCACCTGTCCTCCCTGACACCAGTCCTTTGTCCATGGAGACAGTCAGGTCAACCCCCTTTACTTCCCCATTTAGCCCAAGGTCCAAGGGGTAGGTATTTCATTGGCTATCTTAGGGCTGTGAGTTTTCTTTTCCCCCTATGGTCATAACAGCAAAGAAATACTGAGTAAGTTTTTAATGTGACTTCTGCCATATTAAAATTTCTTTAAAAAAAAAATTCCACAACCAGCCAAAAGCCACATTTTAACCAAAGATTAAGCACATTTTTTTTTCAATGAAATACAAAACAAGGGGGCAGAAATCAATCTAACATTCGCGGCCTTGGTCAGATAACCTGAACATTTGTCTTTGATTTTCACACAAATTTTCACCATCCATATACCCTTAAGATATACCTTATCTTGTTACTGGGATGATTTGTCTGGTCATTTGAAGAAAAAAACCTGATATTAAAAACAATAGCTTAAAGATCAAAACCATAAAAGTGTTGGCAGAAAACATAAGGTACTACTTTATCATCTTTGATGGAGAAAAAGTCTTGCGCAAATTTGAAATTCTAAATACTAAACAAAATATTGACAGCTTCAACTCCCTAGACATTAAGAACTCTTAGTGGCAAAAAGTACTTTTTAAGAGAGATGCAAGTGGAGAGGGACATTGTTTACAACATGTGACCCATGCACAATATTTATACACATAGAGTGGAAAACCAGGAAGGTAAGATCACAAACCAGTCACAGGGTAGAGGAGCAGGGAGAAGAACAGTCAGATTGCAAAGAGAGCAACAAAGAAGCACAAATTCAATGAGGTCATTTTTCACTCATCACTGGAAAGCATTAAAGGGAATGACAGTGTCCAGGGCCAGTGGGCAGCACATGCTCAGACCCCCTTACTGGGGACACAAACCTATGTGCTTTTAGCAGCAAAAGCTTCCAATGTGCTTCCAAACTGCCAATGTGCTTATCACAGCACTCAGAAAAACTTCTAGAAATGTACCTTTCATCAACACTACCCTGAAGATGGGCTTTTACAAGAACATGTCCACCGCCCTGCATAAGACATGCCTTAACCGCAAGGTGGGGTGTATTGGGCTGTACACAGCATGCTATTGTGCTGTTCAGAAGCCGGTGGTAAAGATCTATATTAAAAGGCATCGCTTCCATGGTACGTTGACCTGTACAAAATAACTGTTTATAATATCTACACAGAGTGGAGAGGGGCTGCTGCCTGACTGGAAGGATTAACTAAGAGGTGACTGTCAGAGACCACCAGGTGATTTTCTTCTTCAAAATTATGTTCATTGTCAAAATTTTTCACAATGAGCAAATACCACGCTCATATGCAAAACTAAAAATGAAACAAAAGACAGTTGTTTCCTCTATTGTTTCCATTTCTTGTTTATCCTCGTTTAGCCTAAAGTGATATTATGAGGCTGTTTTCCTGATATAGCCTACATATATCAGAGGCATCTAAGGCTCTGGAAGTAGGTATGGAAGAAGAAACCAACTCTAAGTCAACATCAGGTCAGAGCATCACCAGCCTGCTTTTCTCGAAATCAATGGGGCAGAATGGTCCGCGAGAGGTTCCAGCACAGTTCAAAGGCTGGAATGAATTGTAATCTCACCTAATGTGCCATTTCCTTATAAAAGCTCATTCTCCTGCTTTTGAAAAATAGCTCCAATAAAGTGATATTTTGCAGTGGTATTTTTGAAATCACAGGTGGAATAATTTCTTGCAGCAAAATCATTGTGATACACCCTTTCTGAAAACATTTAAAACTAAATGTTCTAGGTGGCAATTTAAGTGGGACAGATTAACTGTGCATCCATCTGGGAAATTTAATATGAGATCATAAGTCCAATACTGTTGCCTACAGCAAAATGGTTCATAGGAAAGGTCAAAAGTTCCTAGAAGGAATTAAAAATACAAAGCACTCACCTCTTCCCAAAGTATATAAGTGAAAAGAGTTCTCATTGAATTTCGTGATGGGAGTGTTTTGAAGGGAAAAAAAACAACGCAGGAAGTGGCAAAGAGGGTAAAGGAGTGAGTGGAGAGAAAGAAAGGTGATATCTTGTGTTCTCTACCTGGAAGCGGTACCCAGGGCAGTGATCCAAGCTTGGAAAATGCCAGCAAAAAAGGAGAAAGGGTTTTTCCTGGTCACTACAAAATAAATCAAGGGGAGAAAGATGCCCCCATGGATGATGAGGCCCACAATCACCGTGATCATGTACATCCCCAGTTGCCTAGCAACCACTTCTAAGTCTTTGATTGCAATGATCTTCCCACAAATTAGGCAGGCGATACCCAGGGGAGAGTACCTGAAAAACATAAAAGAAAAAAAAAAAGCATTGATGAGATCATTATGGGATTTAGAACTCAAACCCAGGCTCTCTATGTAGCACACCCTGAGGAAAGCTCTTCACATCTCTGTACAAAGATATTTGCTGAAAGAGTACCCTGAGATTCAATAAGTGCTATATTTCACTTCAGACTAACTGCATGATCTAAAATCTCTTCTATGGATCTGGCAGTCCCTAGTCTGACAAAAAAATCCAAAGGCAAACTTTGTTGCTAAGGCAACTTTCAGGAATAGCAAAGACAAGTGCTGCCTTCTCTTAGATAAGCAGCCACTGAGAGACAAACTAGTTATGTCTTTGAGAATTTCGCTTGAAATCTTTGTTCCTTGAAATCTCGGCACAAAATTTGAGCTTCTCAGAAAGCTCATTAAGAGTCTTTCCCAGCTAGTGGTGGGAATGCAAACTAGTACAACCACTATGGAAAACTGTTTGGAGGTTCCTCAAACTGCTAAACATGGAGCTTCCCTATGACCTAGCAATCCC